CGCTTCCAAGAGCAGGCTGCTCTCCCCTACCTTGGGGGTCTTGAAGAGAAGGCTGGATAGGCATCTGGCTGGGGTCATCTGACCCCAGCACACTTTCATACCCAGGCAGTGGGGTCAGACTCAATGATCTGTTGAGGTCCCTTCTGACCCTAGCATCTGTGCGAATAGGCCGCCGTGGCCTGTGAATTTGGCAGGTCCCTACCTAGGACCAAAGTATGCTCAAAACTGGTGAGGAAATGAGCAAAATTGGCATTATGAACTGCAAATGTCTACATGAGCTTTTTGCTTGAATACTGCAGTGATCTGCAGTGATATTCAAAGAGAAAACCAACACCAGATACTGACAACATTCACATTAAATTTCTTAAGATTCTTACCTTTATTTCTAATGTGCCACCAAATCCCATCTTGAAGTGCCCTTGCATATCTTTGGTAAACACTCTCTGAAAGGTTTGTTTGAATAAAGATGTATTGAACGAATCTCCCATTACCATGTAACCTCTGGATGAACAATCAAAAGACAAAAAACACCTCCAAATGAAAAAAAACAAGCCAAAAAACATCTAAACTATTTATCAGGCAATAATTTGGTGGAAAGATATTTGGTGAAAAGCAAAGCTGCTCAAACAATTCCTGAAGAGTTTACACTAAAAATACTTCAAGATGTAACATTTCTTTTTAAAAATCTCATTAAAAGGGACAGTTTACTATTCTGTCATCAGTAAGAGAAAACGTTGCTAAAGCATTACAGAGAAACTTTCATAAACAGGCTTCTTACAAGATCAGTATGTCAGTCATCATCATCTTAATATAAAACAAAACACAAGTCTTTCAACTGAGGAAGTCATTATAATGAGATTTATCATTGTAGTTATTTTTTTTCAGTGATACCTTAGAGCAGTAGTGTTCAGGCCCTATGGCCTGGATGAGTGGTGTGGGGTCAGTCAGCAGGCTAAATCTGGTCCACAGGCCCAATTTGGCACATGGGGTTGGCCCAGTATGTGGCTCCAGCCCTATACACCAGATTCAGCCCCAACCCTGGCCCTGTACACTGGATCAGGCCCATGGCACCAGCCATGTGTGCTGGGCTATGCCATCTGACCCAGAGGGCTTGGAAATTTGGCTGTGGAAAACCACTGGCAATGTTAATACCACCTCTCCCCTGTCACCAAATTTTCAGACCTGCAGGAAGCCCCACAGGCCAGGTGACATGGCCCTGTGGAACAAAGATTGAGCACCATGCCTTAGAGAAATGAATCTACCAATCAGTTTATCTTAATACTGAATATTTCAATATATATCTAAATCACTTCGCCTCACTCATTTGAATAAGTATTTCAGATTTGAAACCACCTCATAAAATGGACACTTAAGCTCAGCAATGCTCTTTGGAGGCAAAACCATTGTTATGATAATTCTGTACTTTAAAGTATTTTAAAAACTATTTGGATTAGTACTTATGGAATAATAATGTAAGCAGCCATTTTATCTCCAGTAGTGCTCGACATATATTAACATAAAACATTTTAATTATATATTTGATAAGGTGTGTGCTAGATATGGCCTTCAATTTTGTCTCTAAGTCTGGTATTTTCTTTTGGGCAGGCAAGCTTCTTTGCGTAAATGTGGTATCTTTAATTAGACCAAATAAATAGTTGGAAAAATTGCTCTTTGCAAGCTTTCAGGTACAAACACCCTTCTTCAGGCACAGGGAGAGTTTTCTTTTAGCATTTTCTTTTAATCATCTCAGCAGAGGTATGTCTTCAAGGAGATATTTAAATACAGAAAGGACTGAGGTCATAGGGACTTACACAGAAAAAAGCACCATATACCTAGGGGATAACTTGACAGAAGACAGAGCTACAGAAGTTTATAAATCCTATGTTTTAGGCTGGCTTTAGTGAAGGACCACAGATTCTTTACCTTTTTCATGTCCCTGTGACAAGGTATTTAGCAAAATTCACAGATTCTTTGGAATCTGACAGGGCCATGCCATGAGTGCTTCTGCTACAGCCTTGAACTTGCGAGGTCTGGGCTGTCAACAGTGCACCTTAGCACGCATGGGACCCTAACCCCCAAGCCACAGGTGGAACAGGTTGATGCAACAAAGAAACGAAAGAAGCAGAACTAGACGTTCATACCAAATACAGGAAGCTTGAGGTTGATGCAGAAAAAAATCATGAGCCAGGAGCAGGATTCTAAGAGAGTTAACACTGTCAACATTGACGGGCATAATAAATAATCTTATCAGCAGGCTGCACAGGGACAATATTAAGGTCAAGGACTCTAGAACATAGGACAATGGTAATCAAGATGCAAAATTATGACTTCTGGGAGAGAAAGAATTTTAGTAACAGGGACTACAAAAATGATGAATCTTAGAAAAGCTGTAGAGGAAGAACTGACAGAATCTAAGCCTGTGGCATAATGCAAACAAAAAGGTGAAAAAAGGTTATGGGTGTGTGGTATATTAAACAGGAATAGAGAATGGAGGAGTGGACAACATTTCACAGGATGGGGTGGGATTTGCTTGCCCTGTTAAACTTAACTGGTGGCAAAACATCCAGAAGAAGATCTCAGACACAGTCACTGAGGCAAGTCAGTTTCATAGTGGGTAGGGTCAGAAGGGACATGAGCAGATCATCAAGTCCGACCCCCTGCCATGGCAGGAAAAAGTACTGGGGTCAAATGACCCCAGCGAGGTGTTCATCTAACCTCCTCTTAAAGACCCCCAGGGTAGGAGCCAGTCAGAAATGAGCAGGTACATTTGAGTCACCAACATGGAAACTATAGTTGCTGCTCTGTGATCTAATAAGACTTCCTAGAGAAAGGGTGCAAATAAGAGTGGCCAGTACCAGAACACTATGGTACCCCTGGACATTGGAAAAAAATAAAGCGTTAGCCAGCATACTTCTCACCATAAAAAGCAAGCAAAAAAATCTTCAGATGAGTCAGAGAAGGAGTGGAATTAAAAGAGGATAGTATTATGCAAACTGAAGAAGAGCAAAATACCAAGGGGAAGGAAACATGATACAATTACTATAATACACCTAGAATTCTACGCCATAGTAAATTTACTCTGCAGCAAGGAATGGGCACACAACCAGCTCTCAGAAGCTAGCTGCCTACAACAGGCACTATTATATTATAGCACCTGGCCAGGAAGCAGTGAAAAACTAGTTTTAATTGAGAAAATGGCTATCTATGATGAAACTAACAAAGTGTGGATGAATCTTCCGCATATAGTTGCTACACATTTTTGGAGATAACTTATAAGAGATTACTGGATCTGAGTGACTTACTATGTAGCATAGATTCATAGATGTTAGGGTCGGAAGGGACCTCAATAGATCATCGAGTCCGACCCCCTGCATAGGCAGGAAAGAG